AGCCTCAGAGGAGCCAGTAAGTAGAGCATCGTCATCCCTGTACACACGAATAAGCCTCTCAGGTCTTGCTGGACACATAAAACATCTCAGGCTTGTCTCTGTTAAAGTGGCTGCAGCCAACTCGTGTGTGTAACCCACCTGCATTCATGACATAATGGAGGACTGACGCCTCCACGAGGAGCTAGTTCCTGCCCTCTACCTGTCTAAGAAGCACACCTCTGAGTCTGACCTGTACTGAGGTGTAACAGGGTCTGTTTCCATCTTTTAACACATTGATGAGAGCAGCTTCTGTGCTGTGACTTTATTCAGCATCATAGTTTGATAAACTTTCTCTTACCGGTAAATTTCATGTTAATGAACACTAAATGCAGCAGGATATGATTTCTGTTCTTTAGCAGAGAAAACAACAGCAAAGAGAGGATGTGTGAGACGGCAGAAACACCCGGGTAGCTTCACTGGTTTGAGTTTGTCGATGAAATAAGCTCCTGAGGTTTTTACGTTGGAGAGCCGTGTTCTCGTCTGACTCGCAGCTCTCTTCATAATTACGCTGTAGTTCTATTTGCTGCCAATGCTACGTTTCTAACGTTGTAAGCTGGACAGTGGTGCACAGACGCTGTCATAGCTCTGGCCTCCATTCCCATGAAGGCTCAAACATCTGTGCTGTCAGCGGGATAATAAACGTGAATGGCGGCTCAGCTCTGTCGGAGCATCCACGGCGCTTCAGAAACATAGTTAATGCATCGTGGCGTTTTTGTCACGCTAATGTTCAGAAGTACTCGAATCTCCAGGGAGACCAGCCTGCACTCAAAGGCACCTGTGATGTCCTCCCTCCTCCTCAGACTCTGGACTTTGAGACCAAGACCAGCTACACTTTACGCGTCGAGGCATCCAATCGCTACATGGACACCCGCTTTCTGTCAGCCGGGCCGTTCAGCGACGTGGCGACAGTTCGGCTGCAGGTGGAGGACGTGAACGAGCCTCCGTATTTTTCCCCCCGCGTCAGCCAGATGGCGGTTTCAGAGGCAGCGCCGGTGGGAACTGAGGTGGGATCGGTTTCAGCTCACGACCCCGACGCCTCAAATTGTCCCATCAGGTAAGACGCGAGGCGGTAAAATCACTGCAAACACACTTACACCACAACGCAAAGACAACACCTGTGCTCCTCTGCAGGTACGCCATCGACAGGAAGTCGGACGTGGAGAACTACTTTGACATTGACAGACAATCAGGCGTGATCCGGACGAGCAGACGTCTGGACAGAGAGCTGAGCGCTCTGCACAACATCACTGTGCTCGCCACAGAGAGCTGTAAGTCACATGACATCCGTTTGTCTTCCTGCGAGCAGCAGGTGTGTCTGACAGGTGTGTGTGTCTCAGTGGATCACTCTCAGGTGGGCAAAGCCGTGGTTCTGGTCTCTGTGACAGACGTCAATGACAACGCTCCGAGCTTTCCTGTCGAGTACCAGACATTCATCTGTGAGGACGCCCAGCCGGGACAGGTGAGGCCCACTTGTGGCTCACAGACAGGTGTTCTCAGAAAGGTGAGCGAGTGAGCAGGTGTGTAGACAGACAGGTAAATACAGCTGCTGTGATGTCACTGATATCTGTTATTTAATGAGCATCGTCTGTGAAATCTCTGTAATCTGTTGCTGAGATGGATCCAGAAGTCCCATCTCAGGTCACATGAGCATTGCTGACTGGATGTGCTTCTGATTTTCTGCCTCTGTTTGACCTTTGACCTTTAGATCATTGTGACGCTGAGCGCCGTGGATTTGGATGAAGCCAAGAATGGACATCACTTCCTGTTTTCTTTGGCTGCCAAGGCTGCCTGGAACCAAAGCTTCATCCTGAGA